TCACAAACTGGGAAACCATATAGATATTGAAGCCATAGGTCTAGATGGAACAGTGAGGGGGGACCAGCATTGAGCTTTCAGACATACTATCATCTGGAGATAGAGCAGAGGACAAGGTACCAGCAAACAATACTGCAAAGGAGCAGCCAGTGAGTGAGGACAACCAAAGGGTGGTGTGTCCAGATAGCCAATAATAAAAATAATCTCATTAACTTAATCCTATGTCAGGAGTTCTATTATTGTTGCAAGTTCATCAAAGAAATCTAAACAACCCCCGCTTAATATATTTGATTAAAAAAAGAATCCAATCAATCATCAAAATTAAGTTTACTTCTCCACCAGTAGGAGATAATCATCCCTTGGAGTAACAAATCTCATTCTTGTTAGTAAGTGGACACAGTACTAACAGTAGGTTTTCCTGTTTCCCAACTCAATAGCAGTGCTTAGCTCCTTGCCTCCTTTCTTTTTAGATATCCAATACCAATCAGGTAAAAGATGAATTTAAAACATATAAAAATTACAAATGTATATCTGAGGATCATGGTCAAATACATTCCCAACAACATGTGAACACATCAAATATTGAAAGTAGAAGGTAGGATACCCTGCATATAGTGGTAATTTTGTAGCTTCATATTGAATATGTGTGTATCTATATTTAGTGTAAAAAGTTGAGGAATCTTCAAAAGAAATAAAGTTTGGAAGAGCAGTGAACAGGGGGAGATTTTAAAAAGATAAACATAAATAATTTGCCTTATCAAGGCATTTTCCACCCTGGGGTGTGTGTTTGCATAAACCTGCATGTGTGCTTAAGGGTCAGGATCCAGCATGCTCACTTGGAGTAGGAGAGGCTTGTATCAAAACATTCATCAAAACACAGGCTGCATTCCATTTCCACAGCCCAATATCAAGATTGCCCAGAATTACATCTTATGCCATTAGACATCTAATGCAAAGCCATCAAGGCTTTCAGCTTTCCTCGGGGACCCCTCGGGAGGAATTTTTGCCGAGAGTCGGCAACTTAGACCTGCTGCCTGTCAGGAAAGAACCGTGGTACAAGTTTCAGGGAGGGCTTCCGTTGTCAAAACAATAATAGCTGTAATTTTCTCTCCCTCTATTTACAGGAAACAAACTCTTCCTTCCTGTCCTCTGCCTGTAGCAGAAAATAGACAAGCCAAGCAGATGTCCAGGGATGGCGGAGGAGTACCTTGGCTGCAGCTTCCTTGAGAGAAAACAAGCTCAAGGGAGCCTTGGGGGCTGGGGGTGGGAGTGCGGGGCGGGGGCGTGAAGGAAGGTGGCACAGTATTGTATTCAGGTTCCCAACTCACTCAAGCTGAGTGCCCGTTGCCTTCTTTGTCTCCCTCCCTCTCCCTCTGTCTCTTTTGAACTTACTGTGAAACAAATGAACTATATATGGCCAGGGAAATCTCCAGCAGTCCCAGTATTTTTAAACTCTTGCAGTCTCCTGTTTGCACACTCATGTGACGTAGAGGAACTAGATCCAGAGACTTTCTCATGGGAATCCGGGATGCTTCGCCATAACTGCTGGCTTTGGTTGCATGTGTTTTTGTTTCTTGTTAATGCAGCCCTTGGGGTTTCATTTCACATCTAAAAGACCTGGGAAGCAGCAGATTTTGTGAGTGCACTAAGAATGTACCAGGGAGGCTGTGTTCAGGGTGTCTGTCCAGGATCGTCATCGAGGGCCTAAGAAACTTTGCAGCCTGTGTAACCGGCCTGGCTCAGACTGGAGGGTGAACTGCCGGGCATCTTAATGCAAATTGGAGAGGGTTAGCAAGGAAGAATTATTCTCAGAACATTCCGCGAGCCCTTCACTGATGAATTCCTCATCGTTGTGTCGGTTTTTTTTTTTTTTTTTTGCTGTTCTTGTGCATTATCCAATGTTACTCAACTATTTTATTAATATGTGCCCCAATCCCTGCCTTCAGCGTGTGTTTCCAGTGACTGTTTATTTCTCTTTCAGATTCCCTTGCTGACGTCCTTTTCACCACTGAAAAGATGTTTCAAAATGTCCTGGAATCGAAAATATTTTATTTCGTAAGAGATGTATTTTCAAGCAGTTTATTCACAAGAGTGACATTATATTTGAGGATTAAATGAAAATAGGGGAACAACTCACATAGTTACTGAGTGGAAAAGATTACCTTTAAAACAGGATGGAAAATGAAATAGCGACTGTGGGTGTAGTTTCTTGTAAGAACACTGAGTCTAATTAGTTGTCTAGGTCATGCACCACATAACTCGGTGCCACTACTCATAATATAGATTTAATTTAATATGATGATTTCCTGTCATATATTAGTGAAATGTCTTGAAGGAAGAGTCCCTTTTGTACAAAGGGGCCATATGGACTATTAGTAATCACTTTTTTTGAGGATAGGAATGAATCTTACCCACTTTTTTTTTCCTATTGCAATTTACCTGTTATAATCATTACTATTTACAGAGAGCTAACTTTCTATCAGACACTAGTATAAACAATGTTATGCTGGTAATAGAGCTGGAAAAAGAAAAAAGAGGCCCTGACTTGCAGTGCTTGCCAATTTCCATAGTGTAAATATTCCCACCATAGCCACCTTCAGGCTACCAAAGTTCTTGAAAGCTAAGTGTAGTGTTGAGTAGGGATGATCACAGTTGGCTTTCCTGAGCCAGTATGAGTTGGCTGCAACAAGCTATTGGTTCTATAATAAGTTATTAACAGGCATTAATTGCTTTAAATATTAACAAGTTTTATTTGCTCTATAAAATGATATTATTATTCACCGTCATACAGATATGGAAACTGAGGCAATGAAAAGTTATGTTACTTTGCATAAGGTGACAGAACTGGTAAGCAGTGGAGCCAGGCTTTGAGCCCAGGCTGCCTAAATCCAGAGCCCATGCACATAATCCCTAGACCATACTGGAAGCAATAGTGCAGGTGTCAGCAAATGATTTCTAAATGAGGAAATCTTGATGTCAAGAAGTGTATTAACTGCTTTAAGTATTGTATCAGTTAGGATTCCACCAAAGAAACAGAACTAGTAATCAATAGACATAGTTAATATGAATATATAATAAATTCACATTATGTATTTTTAATAAAATATATTTAGAAATAATGTAAATATATATGGATATATGTTGATTTATTGCAAGGAAAATTGGCTTATGTGATTGTGGCAGCTGGCTACAAAAGTCTGAAATCTCTACAGCAGACCCTCAGGAAGGGCCAACAGAAACTCTCAAGCAGGGGCTAACACTGCAGTCCACAAGTAGAATCTCTTCCTCAAGGAAGCCTAAGTTCTGTTCTTAAGGCTTTTTAATTACTTGAATCAGGCCAACACAGATTATCTAGGATAATCTTTCTACACAAACCAAACTATTACAGACTTTAACAATACCTACCTTCACAGCAACATCTATATTAGTGTTTGATTGAATAACTGGAGCCTATAGCCTCAATAAGTTGACTCATAAAGTGTTGAGTTGAATTGCATTGACCAAAGTTTTATGTTGAAATCCTAACCTCTGGTATCTGTGAATGTGACTTTAATTGGAAATAGGGTCTTTGCAGAGGAAATGAAGGTAAGGTGAAGTCATACTAGAGTAGGGTGAGACCTTAATTGAATATGACTAGTATCCTTATGAGATGAAAAGGGAAATGTAGACACAGACATACAGGTAGAATGCTGTGGAAATGGAGGCAGAGATTGGAGTGATGCATCTCCAAGCCAAGAAATGGCAAGAACTGGTGGAAGCCACCAGAAGGCATGAAGAGGCAAAGAAGCCTCCTTCCCTAGAGCCTTCAGGAGGAAGACGCTGCCAACACCTTGATTTTGGGCTTCTTGCATCCAGAACTGTGAAACAATAAATTTCTGTTGGTTTAAGCTACCCAGTTTGTGGTCCTTTGTCATGGCAGGCCTAGGAACTAATACTACGGGGATCTTAAAAATAATGAGAGGTGACAACGTGCTAGCAGCCCTGGCTCTGGGAGCCTCCTTGGCCTGGGCATCCACTCTGGCAGTGCTTGAGGAGCCCTTCAGCCCACCACTGCACTGTGGGAGCCCCTCTCTGGGCTGGCCGAGGTTGCAGCCGGGTCCCTCTGCTTGCGGGGAGGTGTGGAGGGAGAGGTGCGTGCGGGAACAGGGACTGCGAGCCGTGGGCATCCAGGTCAGTGCCAGTTTCCACGGGTGCGGGTGTGGGCACGGGCTCTGTGCGCCCTGCATTCCTAGCAGCCGGCCTGAGCTGCCAGCCCAGGGCAGTGAGGGGCTTAGCACCTGAGCCAGCAGCTGCCGGCCCACTGGCGCTGCACTTGAGTTCTCGCCAGCCCTCAGCATCTGCCTGATGATTTCCTTCTGCCTTTTCTCCTTGATCCTGCTCCATGATGGAGTGCAGGCGTGGCTCAGGACTAGCGGGCAGCTCAGCCTGCAGCCCCGGTGCAGGATCCACTGGGTAAGGCCATCTGGGCTCCTGAGTCTGGTGGGGACTTGGGGAACTTTTATATCTAGCTAGAGGATTGTAAATGCACCAATCAGTCTGTCAAAACGGACCAATCAACTCTCTGTAAAATGGACCAATCAGCAGGATGTGGGTGGGGCCAGATAAGGGAATAAAAGCAGGCTGCCCGAGTAGCGGCAACATGCTCCAGTAGCCTTCCACACTGTGGGTGCTTTGTTCTTTTGCTCTTAGCGGTGAATTTTGCTGCTGCTCACTCTTTGGGTCCACGCTGCCTTTATGAGCTGTAACACTCACCACGAAGGTCTGCAGCTTCACTCCTGAAGCCAGCAAGACCAGGAACCCACTGAGAAGAAGGAACAAACTCCAGACACACCATCTTTAAGAGCTGTGACACTCACCACGACTGTCCACAGCTTCATTCTTGAAGTCAGCGAGACCAAGAACCCACCAATTCTGGACACAATAACACTGTGATAATAAATAATGTCTACTTCACCGACATCTAGGACATCACTTTTATTAAAAACAAAGACTATGCTTACCACAATTTTCTTGTGACCCTCTCAGCAGTGGCATCGTTGTGGACCCTTTCAAGTCAGAGGTGTATCTATAAACCAATTTGAACTGCTTTTATTTAATTAAACACGGGCAGGAACGAGTACACATCCTCATTGAAACAGTCACTGGAAGAAATAATTGACTTAAAGCAGTGGGGTTGCTATTGTAAAATCAACTTTAGTAACGCATTGAAATAAATATGTGCAAAAGAACGAGTGAGAAATAAATGTGTTCATTGCTTCCAGGGTGTTATTCATTCTTTGGACTTCTCATAGTGTTAGCAGTTCTGTTCAGGGCTAAAAATGATTGCTTTCTGGATCATCTATTTATTCTTTGGACTTCTATTAGTGTTAACAATTCTCTTTAAGGCTAAATGTGATTGCTTTCAGGGTCAGTTATTTATTCTTTAGATTTCTATTAGTGTTAACAACTTTTTAAAGCTAAATATGATTTTGGAGAATAGTCACAAATCAATATCAGATGCGATGGGAAACAAAAATGGATTTGATTAATTTTTGCCTGCAGCCTATAAATTGTCTCTGATGGCCTTTTCTAAACAGAAGAATCAAGAACATTTTCAGCAACAATAGTAGAATTTGAATAAATGTATAGAAATGTCTCATAAGTTCACAGCTTTGAGGGTCAACAGCCCTTTTTACGTGTAAATTTCTGCATAGACCTTAATTTTTTGTTCTAGTCCATCCTATTACTTTGTAATTATAACCATAATATTTTTGTAGCAGGCCAAATTACTTTTACTCCAAAGCCTAAAGCTCATTCACAGACATTCATTGTAACATTGGATTTTTTTTCAGTGTGTAGCAGTTAAATTTCCATTCTGCATATTTGATAGCTTCTGCTACGTATAATCATGTTCACTGAGTACTTGCTACCTATCAGTAGGCACTATTATTTTTATTCCCATTTGTTACAAATGAGGAAAGAAGCCCAGTTGGGCAAAATAACTTTCCCTTATCAAAAAGTTCCCTCATCAACTTTATATTATACTGTTACAATTAGTAACAGATGTAGGATTAGATGTTAGGTAGTCTGAGTACATAACCTATTATTTTAGCCTTCTTAATATGTGAATAGTGTGGAAGTTACATTCAGCAAAATTTACAATGCTTCATATGTTCCTTTAAAAATAGTGTGCAGTCACTAGCATTAGACCAGTACTGGTTGTAGAGATTTTAACTGGTGAATATATGGGTTGAAATGAAAAATAAACAAAAATCATTTTATCCAGATAATCTAGCAAAGTGTTAACTAAAAACTAATTGAAACTAAAAACTTCACATATCCTTCATTGTTTCAGCTTCACTGAATGCCTACTATGTGCTGCCTCCAACTAGAGTACCACCTTGGATCAGAGCCAAGAGCAGCAGTAAGTTGCTAGGCCAGGTTCTGAGGAAGCTCCACCTCCTGTGGAGTATCCTGGATGGGATAACTTCAGGACACTGAACACCCTTACTTTGCAGATTCCAGTGCAGGGTTCTGCAGGCTTTGTCTGTGTGGGCGGTAACCTGGGTCCTCTCTCTGCAACTAAGATCTCCTTCAATTCATGATTCATTTACTGTGTCTAGAAGGAAGCTACATAGCAGGACTACTGAAGAAATGCTACATGATATGTTGAGATAGGTTGAGGTTATGAATATGATCTGGTAGTCATCTCTGCTTGTTTCTTTGTCAGGAAACCAAGTCATGAAGCATTTTATTTCAGAAAAGAAGGGATAAGAGAAAAGCCATGGTAAGCTCTATAAATGCCCATTTTTTAGGACATGAAACACTCATCTGAATTTCTTTATATTTGATTTCTTACTATCTTATTTGCTTTAGAAACATGCCACAGCACAGGGATGATACAAGAAACACTTGGACATAGTTCAAATTAAATTATCTTCATTCCTTTTTATTTGAATACACCATGAGAAAATTGAGCTCTAAAATGCTCCTCCTGGGTATGCCTTGACAAAGAGCATTCTTGTTTCCCTGCAGCCAAGAGGACTGTGAGAAAGGGCAAGAAGTGCTGCTCTATTTCCAGGAGCAGGGCTCTACTGCAAGAATGGGTTTTCTCATGGCTGTCAGTTTACAAGAGAATTCCATGGGTCAAGCCTATAGTTAAATCAATTGCATGCCTATATGGGAAAAACTCTGCCTTATCAAACTTTGCCATGTAAATACATGAGTCTGGACTCTTTCACATACATTCAGGTATTCAAATTATTTCAAAACATATTTTAAAATTATGGTTGCAAAATATTTTGAATGCTCCTGAAGATAAATCAAGGCAGACTTTTCTAAGACATTAAAAAATTAGTCATTACCCAGACTGCCTTTCTACCTGTTGTGGTCCAGGCCTTTTAGATCCATGGTGTTCCTCCAGCCATTCCTGTTAGCTCCCTAATTAGAACTAATGCACTCCCTAGACCCCAGTGACATGCTCCATTGCTGTTGGATTGTCCTGTTTTATGAACAAATTTCATTTGGTCTTCGAATTATCAACTTGCAGAAAATCCAGCTGAAGATTTATTTAAAAGAAGATAGCCATTTGGACTGAATTAATTGGCCTGTTCAATCCAATCACTTCTTGAATAATCTAGATTTAATCAAGTCACTTTTACCCTCAAAAATTGGTTCCTAAATAACAACCACATCTTAATCTGCTAAACTCCCACTTTTTCCCTATGAGAGCCCTCTGCTCTGGACAAACCCATGAAGCCGTGGCCATCAAACATGCTACTGGTCATCCAGTTTCTGTGTTTCACCTAAATCTACCCCTATGTATAAGTGAACTAGAGAAACAAAGACTTGATTCTCTAGCACTCAGGTGTGCTAACTTATGTTAAGAACCTTTATTTTAGGATGTGTATAGGTTAGAATTAAGTTCAGCTGTCAATAATAGAGATCTACTGACAGTGACTTAAACAGTTTAAATGTCTATTATCCTACTTTTTCTGTTTTTTAAATAGGAGACAGGGCCTCTCTCTGCTCCCCAGGCTAGAGGGCAGTGGAGTAATCACAGCTCACTGCAGCCTTAAACTCTTGGGTTCAAGCCATCCTCCTGCCTCAGCTTCCTGAGTAGCTGAGATTACAGGAATGTCCCATAGTACCTGGCATATTATCTTATATTTTAAAAGTTGAGGGGTATTTTTTACAGGTCCGGTGTGGTAACCTTGTCTTTACCCATTTTGTACTGCTGTAACAGAATAGAACAGACTGAGTAATTTATAATGAACAAAAAATGTGTTGGCTCATGGTTCTGGGAACCATGGGAAGTACGAGGCTGAGGGGCTGGCATCTTGCAAGGGCCTTCTTGCTACATCATCCTAGGGAGGAAGGGCCAAGAGTGGGATGAGAGGGAGGGAGACAGAAGGAAAGGGCAGGAGAGAGGGAAAGAGAGAAAGAAAATGAGAGAGAGAGAAAGAAAAAAGAGATAAAAGAGAGAGAGAGAGAGAGATTGAGAACAGAGAGCCAAACTTATCCTTTTGGAATCCACTTCTGAGATAGATAACAGCATTAATCTATTCATAAGGGCAGAGCCCTCACAGTCTAATTACCTCTTAAAGGTCCTACCTTTTAATACTGTTACAAAAGAAATCAAAATTTAACATGAGTTTGAGAGGGTACAAACATTCAAACCATAGAACTCTACAAAAATCTCACAGACCTAGACTTATTTCTTGCTGTTCTGCCTTCTGTTCTAAAGGTCACAAGAGGGCTGATAGAGCTGTAACTATTCACTTCACAGTAGAAGAAACAATAAGGAAAGAAGATGTGCTCCTCCTTTCTAAAGTGCCTTCTGGAGGTACTTTTGTTTTCCTCCCGTTACCCTGAGCTCATTGTAAGTCCAAACCAGAGAGGCTGGGAAATGTAATTTCACAGCTGAACACAGTTAAGTTTCCATTATAAAGAAAAAGAAGGAGAAAGGATATTAGAGGCAAGAAGCTGTTCCTGTCACAGCATTAAAACTGAAGTTGGAAAAGAAAATTTTCTCTTTCATTTAACATTCTATAAAACAACATTTATTGATGAAGTCACTGTCCTAGACACTAAGGATTCAAAAACTGAAATGACACAGTTCCTGTCTTCAGAATATCACAGTCTAATGGAGGAAATACATGTTCATGTCCATAGATGATTACATACTAGGTGTACCCATAGATTTTTATGAGAACAAGTAAGATAAACTCCCCATTCAGACAAGGGTGAGGAAAAGGAAGAAGGCTTTATGGAAGCCACAGAAGAAAAATATGGAAAGAAAGAAGTAGACTTTGGTCAGACAATATATCTGGCAGAGGTCAAATAAGATAAAGATAGAAAATATGTTCATTGGGTTTAATAACAAAGGAGACCTTTAGTGAGCTTGGGAAACACTGTTTCAGGGGAGTGCAGGAAATCAAATCCAGTGGGGCAAAATGTGAATATTAATGATAAAGTTGAGAGAGAAAATACAGAAAACTCTTTAAGAAATGTAGCTATAAAGAGGAAAAGAGAAGGAAAATGGCAGCTAACAAGGTCTAGGCTAAGGAATGGTTTTTTTCAGGATAAGAAAAATATGAAGATACTTCAATACCACCAAGAACGTACAAAAAGAGACACAGGGACAGAAATACAAATAAAGAAAGGAGAGAGAGAGAGCAGGTGAGATTATCCTCTGAAATGGCAGAAATCAAAGTAAAATCAAATGCCAAGGCAAGTGATATCTAAGAAAATGATCATAAAACTGAGACGTATCTGAATATCATCTCTATATCTTCTGTGAAGTAGAAGTCCCAGTTCTGACACAGCGCTAGAGTCAGGGAGAAGAGTAATACATGCAGAAGAGTGATATGCTTTACATTAGCCATTATTGGCAATAAGAAGGACAGGAATGGGCAAAGAAAAGAGAGTAGGAAGTAGGAAAGGACATGTATACTATGAAAATCTTTTCTCTCACCTCTGTCCCCAGTCCCCACCACGGAGGCAATTACTGTCACTAATTTATTGTGTATTTTTCCAGAGGTATTCTATATCAATACAAGAAAATATCTATATTTATTCCTTTTT